CGGCTGCCTCTGTGTGTCTCTTTCCTTTGGGTTCAATATCTTCAGTGGCGATCTGCAGAAGGCGTATCATCTTTCGCAGGCAGACATGTCGACCATAAGCACAGCGGGTATTGTCTTTGCCTGCTTTGGCGTGGGGCCTGTCTTCGTGCTGGGGCTCGTACTGACCACTGTCGGTGCGCTGCTCATGGCACTGACGGTCCAGCGGCGCCATCGCTGCCACCGTGTTGCGGCTGTGCGTCTTCAACGGCATCCTTAACTTTGGCACGGGTGTCTATGACCTTGCGTGCGTCGTGACCGTTCTCAGCCCATTCCCAACGCGGAGAGGTGTGATTGTGGCTGTAATGAAGACGTGCATTGGGCTGGCGTCCGCGATTTTTGGGGCGATTCAGTTGGCCTATTTTGAGGGCCAGCCGACAAACTACTTCTTCTTCCTGATGGGTTTTGGCGGTCTTGCGCGCTGCTGCTGGTGCGCCCGCCCCCGTATTTAATGACTGATCACGAGCGAAGTCGACTGACGGCGGCGGAGGCGGAAAGGCGCGCTGCGACGAAGGCCGTGTATTTGACGCAGCAGCCGCCCTCCATGCGCTTTGCGATTGGGTTTGCGGCTGTGCTGTTTCTCATCTTATGCCTTCCGTTGCAGAGTGCGTTGGTGGCGTACCTGCGCCTGCGGTGGGGGTATCGGAACGGCTTTGCCGTCACGACGATTGTCGTCCTGGGCGTTTATCCCATTGCTGCCGTGCCCTTCCGCTTTCTGGACCGAAGCTGGAAGTGTTGGCGCCCCCCAACCTCCGAGGGAGAGGGCGCCGCCGAGCAGCACGAGCCGGCCAGCGACAGGCCGGCAGCGGCCCCGCCGATGGAGACGGACTACGTCGCGCCGCAGTACCAGACCAGATTTATCCAGAGTCTCTGCACAGCGAAGCTCTGGGCGATCTTTTGGTCGCTGTTCTGCACACTCGGGACTGAGTTTGTCATTCTAACAAACTCGCGGTTGTTTTTTTTACTCCGCCATGTCTGGGGAGGAAATTGACGATTCCCTCAACGCACTGCTAACAGTGCTGAATGGCGTGGGAAGTGCATTTGGCCGCCTGATAATGAGCGCCCTTGAGGTTTGGTCGCAGAGGCGGGGGGCGGAGAGTCGTATTCCCATCGCGCTCTCTCTGTTTCTGCCAACCATTGCGGTTGCCTTGATGGCGGTGCTCTTCCTCACGATCAGCAGCAGGACATTCTGCCGATTCCGTACGTTATTGGGGCACTGGGCAACGGCATCATCGCAGCTGTGACGATTCTTGTGGTGAATACCATCCACGCACGGGATCCCGGTCTGCACTACAATTTCTGTTTCTTTGCCACCACATGCTCCTCCATACTGCTTAACCGCCTTTTGTACGGTGAGTGGTACACACGGGAGGCAAGGAGGCGAGGTGTTGATGTCTGTTTGGATCGTGCTTGTGTGCAGTTCCCACTGTTTGTGATGCTCGGATTCAACGTGACGGCCTTCTTCTCCAACCCTGCGTGCACTGGGAGTACGTGAAGCTGAATCGTGAGGTGCTGGAGGAGCGGCGTCGCCGCCTTGAAGAGGAGCAGGAGGAATGGGGGTGCGATGATCCGGAATGGCTCCTTCCTTGTGGATCAGGTGGAGGAGCTTCGGGGAGAGAGGGCACTGACCGTGGGAGATTCCCTCGATGGCACTGCCCACATGGGTGCGAGGGCCGCGACGCACGCTGTCATTTGCTGCGAGGATGGAGGGAAGCACGGCGGCGTCGGCGCTGTGGGCGCGCCGCCAGGCAGGTAAGCACCTGTCGCGGTGGCGGCCGCCGCTGTTGTGTTGTCGTCGTGCGTATGTGT